GCTCACTGTACATGTGAAATAACAAACCATGGGTTTTCACGTCTGTAAACAGGGTTGGTTGCCCCAACCGCACAGGATGCGCGTGATCACAGGTAGGTGGGAGGTTCCTAGGAAGGACATCAGCGTGCGTACTCGCCCCCTACAGGATGAAGGCGGCAAGCATGTGGACTTTGCCTCTATAAGCACCCGGCTGATGTGATTCGTGGCCATTCTCTGGGGATCCTGGGTGTGTCCATTGTCCTGGTCAGTGTTTAATAAAGCTTGCTTCAGATCCAGCTCAAAAATTGTGGTAGTGGTCTTGTTCTCACCTGGTAGGACAACACTGTGTGTGTGTATGGGGGGGGGTGAGTACTTTCTGAAGCCACAGAAGAGCCCTGGATCCCCTGGAGCCGGAGTTATAACCGTTTGTGGCTTTTGTGTGTGTATGTGATGTACTTGTTGGTGTGAATGTGTGAATGTGGTCATGAGTATGAAGGTAGACATTGGTGTCTTTCTTTCATTGGGCTCCACCTCACTTTTTTTTTTCTTTTTAGGTAGGGTTTATTGAACCTGAACCTCATTTGGAGCTACCTAATGCTCTTGAGGGATTGATTGTCCCTGCCCTGTCCTGCCCCTCCCAGCCAGAGTTGGGGTCACAGGAAAGTTACCACTGTGCCCAGCTTTTTACAGGGGTTCTGGGGATCTGAAATCAAGTCTTTGTGCTTGCAAGAACTTTACCGAGCCATTTCAGAGCCCCAAATATACATAGATGACAGGATCTATCTATCTATCTATCTATCTATCTATCTATCTATCTATCTATCTATCCATCTATCTATCTATATCACATATATTTGGCAGGGTTTCTCTGTGTAGCCTTGACTGTCTGGACTCACTTTATAGACCAGGCTGGCCTCGAACTCACAGAGATCCACCTGCCTCTGCCCCGTGCCCAGCCCAAATATTTTAATATAGGCTTAAACAGGATAGTTAGGAGAAAGAGAGGCATTTGGGAGAAAATGAAATACAGCCGAGGCATGGTTGTGGGCTTCTAAAGAGAGTCGAAAAAGATAAGACTACTCAAATGTGGTCTAAGCTACTCAGGGCAGAACAGCTGTGATGGCCTAGCCTTGGCCACGCATACCCTCAGTGGGTTGCTAAGAACCCCTCCCCCACTCTCCCACTTTCCTGATAAAGGTGACTGGGAGGTGGCTCTAGGGATGTCTTGGATGAGTTCAATCAGATAAGGTGAATCTAGGGGCCCTTAGGGTTGCACAGGGTCTTAAAACAAAAATATTCTACATTTAAAACACACACACACACACACAGTGTTGATTCCACCAGGTGAGAATAAGACTACTACCACAATCTTTGAGCCAAATCTGAAGCAAGCTTTATTAAGCACTGGCCAGGACAATGGACATACCCAGGATTTCCAGAGTATGGCCACGAAATTCCGTTAGTCAGGTGCTTATAAAGGCAAAGTCCGAAAGGCTACATACTTCTCACACCCCTCTCTGCCTGTGGGTATTCTGGGAGATTAGAAGCTGGGAGAGGAAGGCCTAGGCAGTTTTTCTGAATCCTCCACTTCTTTGCAGGTGAGGGGCTTTAACCAGATTCCTGGGGGAGGGGACCCATTTCTGTCTTGTGTTCCCAGGATGTTTCCCATCTTTCCATCTTGACCCTAAAGGGGGATCATCAGGTGAGCACCTGCTTCTCCATGCTTTCTCTCTCTAACCTCAGGCTTGGACAGCACCTAACCCCTTGGGAAGCCTGCAGCACAGAGAGCCTCATCTCCTGCCCGCTGCTCAGCTGCTCTGGTCCCTTTGTAGCATCTACATGTAGTGCTCCGTGCTGGGGGTTTCTGAGAGGTCTGGGCTGACTGGAGCTCCCATCTTACTCCCAGTACTTTGTGGCCAGGCCCCTGTGCCTCTGGCCGCTTCCCTGGCAGTGTGATGGGAACCACTCAAGCCACTATTGGACCTAGATCAAGAACACGTGCAGGGAAGCTGCTAATTCCAGGGACTCTGGAGGCTGAGAAAGGAGGATTGTATACGGGGGCCCTTTCTGGTACCCTGCTAACCCCACTGAACCTCTGCTAATCTAGCCACTGTCACCCAAACTAGAGTAGAAAATTACTAACAGCCACACCTGCTTAGCGACCTGAATATAGCTGTAATGAGGTTCTGTGTTTAATAAGCTTTAAAATAAATACATAAATAAGGTTTAGAACATAGACATACGTTCAACCATGGTTTTGCTGAGACAAGCCAATACCTAGGCAATGGAGGGACAGACACAACTCAGTTCACAGCCAGGCAATTCTGTGCTGATGTCTGGCTTTGTAAAGTCATGAAATAAACCTGCCTGCTGTTATCCACTCTGAGTCTATGAGTTTCTCACAGCTCAAGGCCTCTCTGAATAAGTGATGCAGAACCCATCTCAAAAAGCAAAAAGGCTCTGGGTGTAGGCTAGTGTAAACCCAGCACTCAGGAGGCTGACACAGGAGGATACAGGTTTAAGGCCAACCTGGCCTACATAGTGAGTTCAAGTCTAGCTCGGGCTACATAGCAAGGCTCTGTCTCAAAATAAAAAATAAAACAAATGCTAATCCCTCATGGGCTCACAACCACTTGTACCTCCAGTTCCAGGGAATTTGACAGCTCCTGGCCTCCACAGGCTTTCGGCACATCTGTGGAACACAGAAAAGCCTGCAGGCAGACCACCATGCACATAAAGTAAAAATAAAACTTTATTTGATGTGGAGAAGGATTGAGTCTGGGTCTCTCTATAGAGCCCTGGCTGTCCTGAAACTTACTCTGTAGACCAGGCTGGCCTCAAACTCAGGGATCTGCCTGACTCTACCATTCCTGGATTAAGAATAAATAATCTTTTAAAAAAGAAGCCACCTGAAGAAGCTATCACTCACTGTTAGAGCATAGCATATGTATAGCCCTTGATCTGATTCCCATGGGGGAGCTCTTTCTTAATTTTGGGGGGAAAACTTAAAAAAAAAAACCCCATGTGCTAAGCAACCCAGTGAGATTCCAGAGAGGGTTCCTAGGCCGATAACTGGCTGATGCAGCCACTGAAATGTCCTTCAGTTGGTGGGCAGGTGATTCAGGTCTTCTTACTGCATACTGTCAAAAGCAAAGTTCAGGATTCAGAGACAAGAGTCAGATCTCCTCCTCCTCCTCCTCCTTTGTCTTTTTGTTGCCTTTTGTTATTATTTAACACATAAGAATAATACAGGTTTGTGGGGTCCAAGGTGCCATTTTGATATATGTATATACAGTGGGATGAGCAGCACGTCTGTCACCTCAAATATGGCACACTGGCTTGTACAGAAGCCTTCCAGACCCTCCAGGGACTGGTCTGAAGCTGGCCTGCACGGCTGTTGGCTTGGCTCCGTGCTGTGCCCGCCTCCTGAGAGCTTTGCCTGCCTGTTCAGCAACCTCTTTCTGCCTTGTCCCTCTCTGCCCTTCCCAGCCTCTGGCTGCCATGTTTCTGTCCTCTCCTGCTACAAGGTCCCCTGGTGCAGACATCTTAGGGGAACGCCCAGCAGACCTGTCAGGGGGCACAGGGTACAAGAGAACCCCACAGGCCAAGTCAGAGCCCAAGGGTGGGCCAGGGGGTGAGGGCAAGGGGGGGGGGATGAGGGCAGAGAGATGTGGGTCAGGAGTGACCCAGCTGGTTGGCTTGGGGAGTTCTGTTCTCTGAGTATTGATCACAGCCATTACCACCATAACCAAGAGCTGTGAGTTCCCACCAGGGACATTCCGGAGGAAGCCTGTGGGAGTTCCCTTATGAAAGGAGGGTGCTAAGGGTCTGAGACTCCTCTCCCTCCCTCCCGCTCCTCTTTTTGATGCATGTCACCCCACCTCAGTTGTCTTGGTGTAGGGAGGTGCTGGTATGAGGGGGGTGGAAGGTTAAGTAAGGGGAGCACTTCATCCACATGACCTCTGGAAATTGTCAACCTCATCAGGGTGGGCCTTTCCAGTCATGCAGCTGTTTTAGGGTCACCCAAATTTCTGTATGTAACACTGACGTACGTTTCTGTCAGTAACCCTTGACCCACACTTCTTCGGGTTAATTGGTTCATCGGTCCAGGATTGGATGTGATCATTCCTTGGTCTTCATCAGTGCCTTCTCTGAAATGTCTTCATGTCATTCCTGAAAAGTCACACAATGCACTGTGGGGGCATCAGAGCCTCCACTTTGAGTACTAAACGACGCCACCAGTATCACCTCAAGTCCAAGGTGCTGTGCTGTTCAGCTTTAATCATCAACTTCACTCGACCTAGAACCACCTGGGAAGAGCCTGAGGAGTAATCTAGTTAGCTCATGGGCTTGTCTGAGAGGGATTGTCTTGATTGTTGGTTGACGCAGGAAGACCCAGCCCACTGTGGGTCTTCCCTAGGCATTGCCTAGGCAGAGAATTCTGAACAGAACAAGAGGAAAAGCTAGCTGAGAGCAAGCAACGGGGCTGGGCCCATGCATTTGCGCTCTTTCTGCTCCTGACTTTGTGTATGATGTCACTAGCTGCTTAAATTTCTGCCCTGTTCTTCTGTGAAACCATAGGCTATGATCTGCAGTTTTAAGCCAAATCGTTTCTTCCCCCGTGTTGCTTTTTTGTCGGGGAATTTGTCATAGCAACAGAAATGAAACTAGGACAGATACCATTTCAGGGAGTTAAGGTGGCCAGGAATGACCTTTTCCACCTTCATGAGCTGCTGTCTCTACTGGGAGCCAACATTTCCCAGCCAGCCTTGCACAAGATTGGGGGAGGAAGGAGGGAGAGGAGCGCAAAGCTAGGATCTGTGTCTGAACAGGTCAAGCAGAAAGAAAGGTTGCCTCACTTCCCAGTTTAGATTAGGAACATGAGCAATAGCAGTGGGCCCCTTAGCATAGAGGAAGTGACCCCAACGAGTTAAACTGAAAGGCCTCCGCACTGTAGGCTAGCTAGGTACTCTAGGAGAGGGCTGGGCGGGGCTTGGGAGGTGGCCCTAGCTGGGCTGCCTTCAGGCCCCATCGTTAGTCCATGAGGATGGTGTCTCCCTGCCCTCTGGCTCGGGTTCATCCCGAAGTGCCCGCCCCAGCACAGCACCCAGGGACTCCTGCAGCCGGTGGTGCTTCTGGCTGCCCACAAGGAAGTAGATGAGCGGGTTGGCGCTGCTGCTGAAACACGAAGAGAAGCGTGACACACAGATACACAGGAGCCTCACATCCTCTGGCAGTCCCACCCAATAGAGTAAGAACCAGTGGATGCCCAGGGGCAGAGAACAGGTGAGGAACACGACGACGGAAGCCAGGATAACCACAAACAGCCGCCGGGGCCGCCTCCGCAACAAAGTGTTCTTCCGCACGCGGATGAAGAGGATGGTGCTGGACGTGATCATGATCGGCACGTAGATCCCCAGGATAAGACTGTTGAAAACCATGTCCACCCCGAAGCACAGGTTTCGGTTGGGATGCCAGAACGGGATGCAGAAGAAACAAGCCATGAAGTTCATCAGCAGGGCCAGCGCCCAGAGCGCGCTGCATACCGCCGCTGACAGGTGCCGGGGTTGATGGCACTTATACCAGATGGGGAAAAGCACCGAGATGCAGCGCTGGGCACTGATGGCTGTCAGCAGGCTCAGGCCTGCCAAATAGGCAAAGTACTTGGTTCTCTTTATCACCTCGTAGACGGTGGCGGAGGTGCTGTTTGAGAGCAGGGGTCCTGTTTCCAGGCTGAGCAGGGAGGCCATGCAGAGAAGGAAGAGCAGGTCTGCCACCGCCAGGTTCAGCACATAGACGCAGAAGGGGGACCTCTGCACGCGCAAGCTCAGCAGCCAAATCACCGCGCCGTTGCCTGCCATCCCCCACACACAGGTGGCCATGGCCAGGAAGGTCACTGAAAAGTAGATCCAGGTCACAGAGTTCATGGTGGGGCTGATGATCAGACTTGAGGCTGGACTTCCTAAGGAAGAAAAACATCTGTGTTAAACTTTTTGTCGGTGGATTGTTAGACCCATAGAAATGCTGAAATTTTTCTTTAGATACGTCTGGGCTCCGACTGTGGCTGAATCTACCCAGGACCAGACACCGAACTGCTTCATACTCTCCTCTTTGGGCGCCACTCTGAGTTTTCCTTCCTTCCTTCCTTCCTTCCTTCCTTCCTTCCTTCCTTCCTTCCTTCCTTCCTTCCTTCCTCCCTCCCTCCCTCCCTCCCTCCCTCCCTCCCCCTCCCTTCCTTCCTTCCTTCCTTCCTTCTTTCCTTCCTTCTTTCTTCTTCCTCCTCCTCCTCCTTCTGTTCTTAGTTTTTTTCAAGACTGGGTTTCTCTGTGTAGCCCTGGCTGTCCTGGAACTCACCCTGTAGACCAGGCTGGCCTCAAACTCAGAGATCCACCTGTGTTCTGGGATTAAAGTACTGCGCCACTACCCCTCAGCTCTTTTCTGGGGGGTGATCTCATGTAGCTCAGACTGGCTATGTAGCTGGGGGTGAGCTTGAATTCCCCGTCCACCTGCTTCAGTATTCCAAGAGCTAGGCTTACAGCTGCATACCATCATACCCAGTATAGTGTCATCATTAAGTTTTTTTTTTTTTTAATTTTATGAATGTGAATGTTTTGCCTGCATGTATGTATGTGTACCACATGCATGCAATTCCCATGGAGGTCAGAGGAGAGCATCAGATCCCTTGGAACTGGAGTTACTGCTGTGAGCTGCCATGTGGGTGCTGGGGACCAAACCCAGGTCCTCTGCAAGGTTAGCAGGTGCTCTTAAGCACTGAACCATCTCTCCAGCCTTCCACCTCCTTTTCCTCCTCGTTTCCTTTTCCTAGCTTGGTACTTCTTTTATTTTAATTTTCATTTATTTATTGAGATAGGGTATCATGAAACCCCGGGCCGGTTTAGGACCTCTGATCCCCCTGCCCCAGCTTGCCAGTCACCGGGAAGGCAGACGTGTGTCACTGCACCCGACAGTGATCTGCTCTTATTCTAAGCACCTTGGTCCCTACCCCGATGCTTCACCCCTGCTGCTGCTTTTGTCTGCTGTCATTGTAGTTGTGAAGTGGCCTGGAGAGATGGCTGTTCCTCCCCTCTCAGGGACAGTTTGTATCCTGTAAGATCAGCTTTCTTTGAAGGGTTGGCAGAAGGCAAAACCATCTGTCTGGTCATTTCTGTGTGTGTGTGACTGGACATTCAGAGCTCCAAAACGAAGCTCCAAATCCAACTGCTAGTGTTTTGGGTCTATTCAGGTGTTCAGCTCTTTCATACCATTGCTTAGAATGTAATTTGTTAATATAAAAGGATTCTTGACTTCTGGTTTCCCACTTGTCAGGATAAAATTCACTGCAGTATTCTTCTATATTCTCTCTCTCTCTCTCTTTGAGGCAGTGTTTTTCCATGTAGTCCTGGCGGTCCTGGAAGTCATCCTGTAGACCAGAGCTCAAACTCAGTCACCTGCCTCTGCCTCCCAAGCGCTGGGATTAACAGTGTGCGACACCATGCCTTGCAAAAGACTCATTTTTCATTTTTCTAATGTGTATGTACCTGAGTGTGTGTATGGCATACCTGTGGGTGCCCATAGAGGCCAGATTCCCTCAAACTGGAGTTACAAATGGCTGTGTGCACCTGACACAGGTGCGGGACCGGAACTCAGGTCCTCTTCAAGAGCAGGAAGTGCTCTTAAGCACAGAGCTGTCTCTCCAACCCCATTACTAGTTTGTTTTATTTTGAGACAGGGTCTCGTTAGGTAGTTCTAGAAGGTTTGGAATTGACCCTGTAGAGCAGACTGGCCTCAGACTTACAGGAATTGGCCCGTCTCTGCCTCCTGAGTGCTGGGATCAAGGGCATGCATCACCCTGCTTAGCCCAGATCATCATAATTTTTTAAGACCACAATTTTCTGCCAGTTTTCATTTGCTTGGTGGGTTTTTTGTTTTTTTTTTTCAAGAACTCTTTATAAAACTTTGTTTTTTCCTCTTACATTCAGTTTTCTTCTAGGAGGGCACCTGTGCTCAGGGGTCAGAAAAGGACTTCCTGGAGATGGTTCCCTTCTTCCACAGTGTGGGGGTCGGGACACGAGGTGGGGGGACTTCCCTGCCCTTTCCTAGCCCTGTCTTATCAAAGAAGATGGAAGCGATGCCAAGATGGAACCAAGGAAGGAAAGGGGCTTTGGGGAGGGGAGCCTATTATTTAGACCTGGGCCAAAACAAGAATTTTTTGTTTTATTTATTTATTTCTTTCTTTCTTTATTTATTTATTTATTTATTTATTTACTTACTTACTTACTTACTTTTAAAATTTATTTGTTTTGTGTGTGTGTGTGTGTGTGTGTGTGTGTACGCCTGCGTGTGCGTGCTAGTGCTCGAATGCAGTTATGTGGCCGGTCAGAGGACAGCGTGTTGAAGTCCCTTCTCTCCTTCGACCATGTAAATTCCAGGGTTGAACTTAAGCTGTCAGGCTTGGCAGCAAGCGCCTTTAACCCTGGAGCCATTCCCCTGGCCCAGCCTGCAGACTTTCTGTCTGAAGCCATTTGGTTTGTGGTCACTGTTACAGCAACTACGGAGAGCACATGCTGTCCAAAGCGGAGTGCCTCGTTTGCTTGTCATAGCAGCCACGTAGCTGCGCTGCTGGCGGTGAACCCGGGACTTGGGAGAGCAGGGACTGTACCCCCACCACTGAGCCTGGCAGCAGGCCAGGGGGCTCTTGAGAGCAGACAGAACCACCCTTAATGGCCTTCTCTTCCTGAGTCATGGCCAGGGCTGTGCCCAGCGTGTGCCTGGGTACCTGTTGGAGCCTGTTTGAACCGTGGATCCTGCAGCCTTTCGGGGGCCTCTGGGTTAACTTTGGGGTTCCTCTAAGAACTTTGAACCTGAGGCTTGCTCTCTGCTCCCCAGCAGAAGTGAGATGCATCCTGACCCAGGTGAGCTGCTGTCCTGCTCTTCAGCTGAGGGTGAGCACACCTCCCGGAGACAGTCATGGTGGTGGAAACGAATACTGTTGTGCCTTGAAAATGTCACCCAAGTCCCTGGGGTATTTGGCCTTCTGACCTGGTAATGATCCCTGCAGCCCTGTCCCTTGATGTCTGTTCATTGTTTCCATTCCCTAGCTGTTGGCTTAAAATGAGTATTTCTAATTTTTTCTGGCCTCCCCTTTAGTTGTTTCTCTCTCTCTCTCTTGTCTGTTCAATGTTGCTTGCATGTGAGTGATTTTGGGTCTGACTACTTGGTATCAGATAACCCATTAGCAGGCTCCTCTCAGGGGGGAGATGGCTCTTCTTGATTTCAGCATCACTTAGTTGCCTATAGTTCTTAGTCTAAAGGTGGGGCCCCATGAGATTTTCCCTTGTCATGCTAGCATGTCCAGTGTTGGCCTTGTTCGTTGTCTTCTTTAGGCAACTGTATTACTGAGGCATTATGGGTGAAGCTCACCTGAAAATGTTTCTGATTTTAAAAGTATTTCCCTGGGGTACAACAAACAAACAAGAAAACAAACAAATAAATGTTGAAAGCATTTTCTTGGGCTGGGGACATGGTGATCAGTTGGCAGAGCATTTGCCAGTGTGCCGGAAGCTCTGGGTTTGATCCACACTGGGTGTGGTAGTACACACCTGTAATCCTAAAACTTGCAAGGCTGAGTGAGGCAGGAGGTTCGCTAGTTTGAGACTACCATGGGCTTCATAGAGTTCCAAGCCTGGGTCACATAGTCAGACCCTATCTCAAAGAATAAAACAAAACAACAAAACAAAACACCAAAGAGAAGGACAGGAAAGTGAAGGGAGAAAGAGGAAGAAAGGAGGAAATGAAAAAAAAGAGGCTGGGCATATAGTTCCTCAGATAACAAGCTTGCCCAGTTCGCTCAAAGCCTTGAGTTCATCGAAGCCTTATAAAACCTGGGTGTGGTTGTACCAAGCTGTCAACCTAGCACTTAGGAGGTGGAATCATGAGGGTCAGAAGTTCAAGGTAATCCTCTGCTACATTGAGAGTCTGAGTCGAGCCTGGGCTATATGAGACCTTGTCTCAAAATAAGCAATAGTATTTTCTCCGTTCATAGCCTTGTTTAGACTTCATTGTGACATTGTGATATCTCTCTGTGTGTCTCTCTCTCTGTCTCTCTGCTTTCTCTCTCTCTCTCTCTCTCTCTCTCTGTGTGTGTGTGTGTGTGTGTGTGTGTGTTTGGGTTTCAGGGGTAGGGGAACCTAGAGCATGCTAAGCTAGTTCTGCGTTCTACTCTTCTTTGTCAGTGGAGAGTTAGAATGCTGGACTGACAGCCTGAGCATCCCATTCTGTGAACCTCTGCTCCCAGTGTGCTATGGTCTGTTTCTCTTTGCACTTGAAATATCTCTAGAACACGGACAGGTAACCGCAAATATGGCCTCACTTTGAAGGTGCCTAGGTGACATTATGTAAAGGTCAGAAGAAAATGTACTAAAGTCTGTTCTCTCTCCTTCTGCTGTGTGAATTCAAATTGTCAGACCAAGTTTCTTGGACTTCCAGATCTATCTCTTCCTTAACCTGGTGCCTTGCTCTTCCCACCCTTGGCCTTGGTCTGCGATTATCTCTGATCCGCCAGACTGAGCCTCATTTTACACCATTCTCAACTTGTGGGTCTTCGTCCCTTTGGGGAGAGGTGCATATCAGATATTTACATCAGGATTCATAACAGTAGGGAAATTACAGTTCTGAGGTAGCAATAGAATAACTCTGTGGTTGGGGTCACCACAAACTGAGGAGCTGTTATTAAAGGGTCGCAGTGTTAGGAAGGTTGAGGACCGCTGCTTTCCAGGCTCGGGGAGGAGACCCTGCTTGGGCCACTGAGCTGCCCCTGCAGTTCTGCTCTCCCTGGATTCTAGCAAGCCTTGAACTGCTGTGCCCTTTCGCCTCCCCCCGGCTTGTGAAGAGAAACAAATCTCTTACCTGTTCCTGGATGTGTCATTCTGTCTTTCTGTAAAGGGTGCTGATCCCTATTGGCTCTGGTCCTGGAGGGGTCTATAGCATCTCCGCTGGGCCTGGGCCTCTCGGCTGCCTCTGCACTCTCCTGGCTCAGGGTCTCTTCCACTGAACAAGGATGTTCTCCCCTATCTCCGCTGCTGCCGCCAGCCTCACAGACCTTTCCTTGGGGACCTTGGCTCCCTTTGAGAAGTGTGAGAAGGAGCCCCAGATATAAATGCAGGAAGGATGCCCGCCTGCCCTCTGGAGACCTAGGCCCCCAGGAGCCTAGCTGAGGGCTAATGGGCCTCCCAGGAACAACCCTCCCCTGCTCCACCCAGGTCCCCTTGAGGCTGGGGGCTTTTGAGGATGATGCCAAAGACTACCCCTTCTGGTACTATCCTGGTAACCCCTCCCTTCCCAGTGCCTCAGAGCCATCACAGGTCTGGGGGTTGGGGTGGGGCCTCAAAGATAATGGGGGCTCTGTGGGCTGGGAAAGGCCATTACAGGCACCTATGTGGAGGAAGTCTCAGCTAATGTACTTAGCTGGCTCAGCTTGCTGGAGGCGAGGAGACAGAAACACTGGATGATGAGTCTGCCATCTTCTTTTGCCACTTGTGAGTTGAGTGACTACGAGGTTCGGGTAATGTCACTGAGCCTCGGAGTCTTCGCCACAGGAGGGTCATTCCTCACCCTCCAAAGCCCAGTGGGAAGGGAAGGTCACACACCTGCTCTTGGCCTTGGGTGGTGACCCTTTCTCATGCTGGTCGCTTACCTTTCTGCTGGACCCATGGAGGCAGGATGGGGGCTGCAGGCAACTGGGCCTCTCAGGACACCTGCACCTAGCTACCCTGGAGCTTCTTGGTAGTGTGAGCTAATCCATTATGTGTGTGT